CCGCCACCACGACTAGGTCTACCGAACATATCCATGATGTCAGTCGTGTCTGGCAGCGGGACCACTTCTCCCAGCACATCAAAGAAATCAATGATGTTTGACAGTGGACCCGCTTCTCTCAGCACATCTAAGACATCAATGATGTTCGGCAGTGGACAACCAGCGGCGGAGTTAAGGTTTTGTATTAAAATTTGTAGTAATTTCAAAGTTTTAAGACAAACAAAAAAAACACTAAAATTCAGAACTTTGTTATGAATTTTACACTTTCCCTATCTTTTCCCTGAATTCCTGACCTGTGTTTACAACGTTCATAATCGATAATTGAAGGAAAAAAAAATTTTTCACTTGCGAAGAAGGAAATCGAAAAATTCGAATTTAATTAAAATAACTCGAAAAAAGTCAAATAATTTTTGAATATATTCGAGAAAAGTCGAAAAGTTAATATATACATTCCTACTGAATACGAAAAAACATATATTCTTCTATAAATCTATAAATCAAGAGATAGGACGAGGGTGAATCAAATATGGATTCGAAAGCAGAAGATATACCTTTCATTCAAATGTCAGGCAAAATTTTGTGCAATCGATACCAAAATGTGATTAAATTCTACACATAAAAGTAAATTCTCTCGCACAGTCCTGTCTATTTCAAGAGAAGCAAACTTTTATTAATTTAACTTTCTATCCAGATATTGATGATTTTTTTCGCCATAAAAATAAACTCTAATATGGTAATAAATTACTTTTGGATATATGTAGGTACAAAATTCAAATTTAGGGGAGACCGGGGCGTAATGGCTAACTTTTCACTCTTTGTTGTTTTACTCGGACATTTTTGTTCTAATTGAATGTTTATCTTCCAGAAAAGTTACTCTGGTATCTCAGCTTTCTTTTAAGACTACAAACGTCCCGATATGACTCTTACTTTTTATTCTACAACAGTTTTTCTGGAGCAATGCAGAGCTCCAAAATACGGCCCGAGGCGGGGCGTAATGGATAACTCCCGGGGCGTAATGAATAATGATTGCTAATTATTATCTACAGTTTCCAATCTTATTGTATATTGTAAGATCGAAACCTCATTTCAGTTTTTTTTAAAGCTATTTTTGAAAAAAATAGAACGAAATAACGAAAATTTTGAAAAGTTACTTTCGTATGTCAAAAATAGTTTTTCTACTATATTTCTTACAATAATGAATAAATATTAATGAAACTTCCGACAAACTTGCAGTATACCAAGTACAATAACTTGTCTATTGTGCGAAATTATTACGATTTACGGTTTTTATAAACAAATTACAATTATTCATTACGCCCCTTAGCCATTACGCCCCGGTCTCCCCTATTTATATTTTTTAGAAAATAATCTTCTAAATTCAAAAAAAGTAATAAAAGTTTTCTAATCATTGCAAAGCGACTCTGCATGCTTTTTGTAGAGTCACTTGTTGCACCCTGAGAAATATTGTTTTCACAAAAGATATGTAAAAGGTTCATGACCCACTGCCTGTTGGCAATATTTTATAAACCTTGAAAATTCTCCTTTGAATTGGATTGAAAAACATTTTTTTATATTCATAACTTCGATTATAAAGATATTTCTTTTTCGAAAAAAGAAAAAATGAAAAAATAACGAAGAAGCTATTTTTTTATTATAAAAATAATATGAATGATTGTTTGTGCGAAATTACTGTGCGAGAAAATAGAAGGAAATTCACTTATAACTTTGACTCAAAGTATTGGAAACAATTATTCGTTTTGACATGCGACGAAACATAAACGATCCATCAACTAGTCCGATAATTAACGACCTGCAGAAAGCTCCTCTCTGATTGGCTACTCTGCCACGGTACACACTGCTAATAAATCATACCGCTATACTCGTTACTGTGTTTACCGCGAGAGGTAGTCTTGAATTCCAGTTTTTTTTCTCCTCTCTCTTTTTTTTTTATTTTGCTTTCATGAAATTCTCATCATAACACTCTCCTATCGACCAATGAAGCCCCTTTTTTTTATACAGTAATAAAAGACTTTTTAAAAAAAAATATAAAAATTAATTATCCTCGGACTGAATTTAGAAATGAAAAATAGTATCAAAAGTGTCATAAAATGTTCGTAATGGCTGCAAATAGTCGCACATTATTTATTTACACTCTCTACATTTGAATCAGTTAAAAATCATAGTTTTAACTGTCAACCAGTGATTAACTTTTTGCTTCTGAATCAGTTAAAAATAAAATAAAAATAACTGAAAAATTAGTTGAACTTGACTAATTGAATCAGTTAAAAAATCTCCTGAAACATTTTAATTGACAATCAGTTTTATTTTTAACTAAATCATCAGTAGAAATATTACTATTTATTATTATGTTTTGTGTTTGAATATAAAAAACATAAATATTCAGTAAAGTAAGAACACAATTTTTTCTTGACAAAATAAAAAAATTTTCGCAAATTTCTATTTATTCAAACACAACTTATTGAAAGCCTATCAAAATTTTCATAAGATGTGAAACATAATTTTTGTTAGAGAAAAGAAAAATAAGATTATTCTCACAACATTTTTTAATTATAAAAAAGTTTATGAGTGACAAAATGAGACTTCGAATTCGATAATTAATTCTAAAAAAAAGTAGCAAAAATTAACTTTAAGACTGAAAAAACTAGTACAAAGTAGCTATCAAAAAATGTAATTTAACTACTAAAAAAAAACTCGTCTTAGTCGATTCACGAAAATTTGATGCAGTATTTTCCGTCTATATTTCAAAATAATTTTTAAAAGTAAAAAAATAAAATTTTTTACAATGTCAAATTTGTTTTAATTAAATTTGACAAAATCTTCAATTAAATGAAAATTAAATTTAATCTTTTCAAATTATTTATTGGAGTTTAACTGTCTTCGAAAAACTTTAATTACTATGCAATTTTTCAAAAGACTAACTTAATCATAATTTCTAAACTAAATTATTCAAAACTAATTTTTGTTTAAACAATTTTCGTTAAATATATATTTAAATATTTATTTTTCCATATTAATTAATATATTTTAAATAATGTCAATGTAAAACCTTTTTGAAATTAAATTCTTTCTAAAAATTACAACTATAATTCTTTCAAAATTCAATCATTTTTATGGAATTTCTAAATAAAATTATTTAAAACTTTAATCATTCTTTTGAAAAATAATAAACGATTAATTGTAAATGATAAATATTAAAATATTATTTAAATACAAAAATAAATAATTGATTGAATAATTGATTATTTTTTAAAATTGAATTCTTTAGAAGAATTTTAATAAAATTTTTAGGAATGATGACATTTTTCAAGAAATTCGTTGAAAATTGTTTTAAAAATAATTAAATTCCTGCCATGAGTTTTGGTAATTATAAAAATAATTGAATTCTTGCAACGCATTTAATAAGAACTTTTTTTGAATATTTGAATTCCTGCGAAGACTTTTATTAAATTTTTTTTAAATAATTGAATTCCCTTGAAAAATTTAATTTCTTAAAATAATTGAACTCTTGCATCAAATTGTATTAGAATTTTTTTTAAATACCTAATAATTGAATTCCTGTGAAAAATTTTGTTATTTGTGAAAATAATTGAATACTTGCAAAGAATTTTATTAAAATGTTTTTCTATAATTGAATTTTTTTGGAGAATATTTTATCAAGACTTTTGAAAATAATTAAATTCTTTTAAGAAAAATAATTACAATTTTATCTGAAATTAATTTTTAAATCAATTTTTGTTGGAAAATTTTACAAGAATTCAATTATTTAAATATATGAATAATTGAATATTTCTTAAAATTGAATTTTTGTAAAGCATTGTATCAAAATTTTAAAAAATAATTGAATTCCAGCGAAGAATTTTATTATTTGTAAAAATAATTGAATGCTTGCGAAGAATTTTATAAAAATTTCTTTAAATAATTGAATTTTTTTCTTATCAACAAATTTTATCAAAATTATTAAAAATAATTGATTTCTTTCGGAGAATTTTATAACAAATTTTTTAAATAATCAATTTTTTTCAAAGAATTTTAAGAAAATTATATTTTAAATAATCGAATTTCTGTAAAAAATTTATTTTTTATAAAAATATTTGTAGTTTTTGGAAAGAATTTAATTAACATTTTTTTAATTAATTGAATTCTTTTGTGAAATTTTATTAAAATAGTAGTAGATATTACAGATTTACAGACAATTGAATTTCAACGAAGAATATAATTATTTGGGAAAATAATTGAACTTTTACGAAAAATTTTTTTAAGATTTTTTAAGAATAATATTAGTAGCTTATTTGTAAAAATGGTAACCAAATAGTTGTAGGTGGTGAAAAGTGTCAAAAAGTATTAGTAATCACTTGAGAGTCTGAAGCCTGATTATATTTATAGAAAGGAAAAAAAAACTTAGAAAAATTGTTATTTATGATCATTTCGTATAAGGGATTAAAATTCCTATTACTATAAAATAAAATAAAATTCTAAAAGTTGCAAAGACTTTTTAGTAAAATACACACAGAAAATAAAATCCTCCTGTCATTCAAAAAAAAATTTTTTTTGAAACCTGAAAAATGCAATTTTTCCTCGAAAACTGTCAATCATAAATAAAAAAAATACGCTCGTTTAGTGTTACTAAAACCTTTTATCAAATGACTTTTTTTTCCTTATATAAATAATCAATTTATTGTTTAAGCCGAACTAGAAATTACTTTTTGCAAAGACGTCAATGAAGCAAAAATTTTTAAATATTTTCTAATTTTCAAAAAACTAAAAAGATATTTTTAAATATTCAAAAAAAGAAACTATCAATTAGAAAAAAAAGATTCAACATCAAATATACATATTGAATATTTTTAAAACTAAATGACAGTAAATTTATTCATTACCTCTTATCAGTTTCAAGTGCGCGGAATTAGATAAATTGTTGTATAATATCATACAAACTGGTATTGTTACTATTTTCAAATACAATTTTTCAAACAGTTCGATTTTATACTCCGCATATGAAGAATAGTGAAATTTTATATTTTTAAAGAAAAGAAAATTAACATGTTGAAAATTATTTATCTGAGTTTTATAGTTTTTCTAACCACTACTGTGAGTGAATTATTCACTAAATCTGAATTAGTAAAACTCAACTGACAAATAGTAAAAGTTGACATGTTTCTAAAGTTCTGAAGGTTCAGATGAACTACGAAACTTTTTTTTCTTCAAATTAAAATTTTATTACGAAAATTTTGCGTCTCTATAAAAAAATAAATTATAAAGTTTCTAAATGTTAAATTTTGGTTTTTAATTTTCATAGCAATCAGTAGTTTATGAAAATATTTTTAATGAGAAATATTTCTTTCATTCCAACGTTCAAAACTTGTGGATCATAAACTTCACTAACTGAGACGGTCATTTTTATAATCATTTTTCCCGATTTTGATTAGTGAAATATGACTATTTGTTAATATTCATTTTCATTCTAACTTAGGCAGATTTAAAAAGTAAAACACAAAAATTAATTAATATTTTATTTTTCAAATGTCTTTTTCTCTTAGGAAGGAGTTGAATTAAAAGCAACGAGAATTTACCTATACATTAATCCAAATAAGACAGAAAACAATTTTTTCCAATCACCGTTTAATGTCACTTTGGGATCAGAAGATGTTAACGTTGAATGGATAAGGGAAGTAAACGTCAATGGTAGCAATAGAGATTTTACAGTAAGAACTTTTAAAAGTCTTTTGTATAGTAATTTATTCTCTTATTATTTAATTAAATGAACTCTCTAAATGTGAATTATTAGTAGTTTTCATGGGCAACTTTTCCACTTTTCAATTAGTAAAATATTACTAACTATTAGTAAAATTTTAATACTTTATAATACTTTTTAATAATTTTAGATTATGTCAAAATACCAACATTTTTGCTCTCTAAACTTAAATTACTGAAAAGTCGTCCACTATTTCGAATTAGTGAAAATTTCCACTAATTCTTAGTTAAATTTTACTATATTTCATTTAGTAGTTTTTAATTTTTTACTAAAATTTTAGTAAAAAGTTACCAAGAATTAGTATAGAAATTTTTACTAATTTAATTTAATTTCTAATTTAATTTCTTATTTCCAACTTTTAAAGCTTCGATTGTACATTGATTACATTGGAAAGTATCCAGGTGTAGATGCACCTACTAGAACTTGTGTGAAACCATCAGGCACTAGTTATGGACATTTGACACAAACACTCTTTCAACTAATGCTCACAGGTGATAAAATTCCAGAGAGATGTCCCGTGGGAAAACAGGTAAAAAAATTATTATCCACCATCTCTTTGAAAATATCCTAGAAAATAATCTTAGAAAATAAAATAAAAAAAAACAAATACTAATAATAATAGTTTCTCCGCTCTTTAAAAATAACTATAAGAATGAAACAATTCTCTTTGAAAAAATTTATAAAATTTTTCCTACAACTTTTCTCTGGATTAAAATTTATATTTTGAATAACAGGGTTGCCACAAAAATTCTATTTTGTTTCTCCCTGCGACTTTTCCCTGATTTCCAGTCAAAATTTTGACTTTTTCCCTGACCCTGAAGAATATCCAAACCTTCTAAAATTCAATAACGTATGAGAATATTATTATAAAACATGAAGAAATCGATTCCTCCGAGTCGAAGACTCGGAGGAATCGATTTCTTCATGTTTTATAATAAATTTAAGATGACAGAGGGATAAAATCATTATTTTATATCATAAGAATATTGTAACTATAAATTCAAATTTTCAAACATTTTAATTTTAACCCTTTTCAAAATTCACGCTATAATGCTTTTAATATTCGATTATAATTTAAAATTTTAAGTGAAATTCATTTTTTAATCAATTTTTATTAGAAAATTTTTCGAGAATTCAATTATTTAAATACAAAAATAAATAATTTATTAAATAATTGAATATTTCTTAAAATTGAATTTTTATGAAGAATTTTATCAAAATTTTTAAAAAGTAATTGAATTCTTTCGGCGAATTTAAAAAGTAATTTTAAGAATAAAAAATGCAATTTTCTATCAGTTTATTTAAAAATTGTATAAAAAATAATTTGAATTCTGCGATAAATTTTGTTATTTATGAAAATCATTGAATTCTCGCAACGAATTTTATTAAAAATTTTTTTAAAGAATGAAATTCTTATTTATGAAACCAAGTAATTTTTTGTGAAGAATTTTATTCTTATTTTTTTAAATAATTGAATTTTTCAGAATTTTTTAAAATTTTTTGAAAATAATTAAATTCCATCGAGAAATTTTATTAAAAATTTGAAAATAATTGTAATCTAACGAAGAATTTTATTACATTTTTTTTTTTAATAATTGAATTCTTGTGAAAAATTTTATTTTTGTAAAGAATTGAATTCTTGGGAATAATTTTATTAAAATTTCTTAAATAATTGAATTGCTTCGAAGAATTTTATTTTTTACGAAAATAATTGAATTGTTTCAAAGATTTTCAAACATTTTTAACAATAATTGTATTCCTAAGAAGAGTGTTTTTTACGAAAATAATTGAATTCTATGATCAATTTTATTATAATTTTTCAAATTTATAAAGTATTTTAACAAAATTTTTTGAAATAATTAAATTCTGGAGAAAAATTTAATTATTTATGAAAATAACTGAATTCTTATTAAAAAGAATTGTATTGAAAATAATTGAATTGTATAGGAAAATTTTATTAAAATTGCAATTTTATTAACTAAATCTTGTAAAGAATTTTGTCAAAAATTTTTTAAATAATAGATTTTTTAAAAAAATTTTATTTAAACTTTTTGAAATAATTGAATTGGTGCGAAGAAATTTATAAAAAATTGGTAATTAAATTCCTGTGAAATTTTTATTAAAATTTGGTTTAAATCATTGAATTTTTGGGAAATTTGATTAAAATAGTATATACTAAAAATATTTGGAATGAGGAAAATTTTGATAGGTAATAATTGGAATTTTGCCAAGAATTTTATTAAATTTTTTGAAAATAATTTAATTTCAGAGAAGAGTTTTATTATTTATATAAAAAAAAAATAATTGAAATTTTGACGAGAATTTTAAAAATTTTTGAACATAATTGAATTTAAGCGAAAAAGTTTATCAGTTTTGAAAATAATTGAATTTCTGTAATCAGTTGTTCTTAAAATTCCTATTTAAAATTTTTAATTCATTAAAAATTGATATTTTCTAAAATTTCAAATTGAAACCTTTAAAGTTCATCTTTATAAAGATTGTAAAAATATTCTAAAAGAAATATTAGGTACTTAAATAAATCTTTATACAATTATAGTCAAATTTTAAAAAAATTCTTTATTAAGTAATATAAAGAAAGCCTCGTTCAAAATTGAACAAAAAAATCAAGAATTTGAAAATTTGAAAACAAATTGAAAGATAATTGAAAATATTTAATTTCAGAGTCCAACAAGAAGTCCGGGGAAAATTGAATCTAATGTTCCGAAAGCACATGGCATTCATTGTAACACTCATGCGTTGATAAAGTTAACTATAACGAATCATTTTCAAATATGGCGACCAAATTATCATAGCTGGCGTGAATATAAAATTCTAAGAATAATTTACTCGGGACAATTTTTAAATTGTTAAGTTCAAAAAATCAGTGTATCAAGACAAAGAATAATTGAAATTATCAAAGTATATCACTCTATTTTTACTACAGCTTACAATTTTTAATTAAAAGTAATGTAAAGCTTAATGAAAATATTTCAAAATGAAAAAAAGCGTGTGACGTCTTTTGTTGATTTAAAAAAGATACATTGATTTTGGAAAAAAAAAGATTGTAACCTTATTAAAAATCAGGCTTTGGACTCGATAATTATATTAAAAAAGTAGCAAAAAGTAGCGTTAAGACTGAAAAAAGTACTTGAAAATGTAGCTATCAAAAAATTAAATTTGACGCCTAAAAAACTCGTTTTAAACGATTAACAAAACTTTCATTCTGTATTTTCTTTCCCCTACTATTTCCTAATTTTCATAAAAAATATTTACTTTTTTCTCATCTTAGGTACTACAATAACTTCAATTCTAAATTTTTGACAAATTCAATTATTTTTTATTTTCTAAATTTTTAATTTTAAATTCTTCAAATACGATTATATTTAAAAATAATATTTAAAAGATAAAAAATAAAATTTTTTAAAATATAAAATTTAAATCAAAATTTGAAATTTGAAATTGAATTATTTCTAAAAATTCACACTATAACGCTTCTAATATTCAATTATTATCTAAAATTTTTACTGAAATTCAACTTTAAATCAATTCTTATTACTTAGAATTAAATAGAAAAATAAATTAGTTATTGAATACTTGAATATTTCTTTAAATTGAATTCTCTAAAGCAAATTCATTTAAAATTGTATTAAAAATAATTGAAATCCTGCGATGAGTTTTGTTATTTACCTATAAAAATTATTATTATATTATTATTTCTGAAAATAAAAGAATTCCTGCGAAGACTTATGATTCTAAAGTTTTGAACGTTCAAATGAACGAAATTTATTTATTTCTTCTTCAAATTCAATTTTTATTACAATACTTTTGAGTCACTATTAAAAAAAATTAATTTTTTAAGTTTTTAAACGTAGAATCTGAGTTTTAAATTTTTATTCAAATCAGTAATTTATGAAAATATTTTTAATACAAAATATTTCGTTCATTTGAACGTTCAAATCGAATTGAATCGAATTGAATTCCTGCGAAAATTTTATTATTTATGAAAATAATTGAATGATTGGAAAGAATATTATACTTAAAAAATAATGGAATTTCGTATTATTTTTGCACGGAGAAAAATATAAAGTAACTTTTACTACTTTCCAAATACATTTTGCAACGTTCGAAGTAAATTTTGCTAATGTTTTACAAATATGTTCTTTAAACATAGTAAAATTTACTTCGAACGTAGCAAAATTTACTCCGAAAGTAGTAATAAAAGTTAACAGAAATGCTCTACCAGAAATACTTTACTATGAAAGTAGTAAAAGTAACTTTATACCTATTTTTCTCCGTGTGAAAATAATTGAAACGCATGAAAGAATTTTGTGAAATTTTTTTGAATTGTTTTAAAGAATTTTATTAAAATTTTTGAGAATAATTTCATAAAAAAAATCCAAAAACTATTAATGGTTTTTGTTTTTTTTTTCATTTTTTAAGTCCATTATTTCGTTATTAATTAATAAAATTTCCTAAATTAGTAACCTTAGCAAATAAATTAGTAGTTTTCGATTAAAAGTTAGTCGCTTCTGATTAATATTTAGTTAAAAGTTTACTAAATTCATTCAACGATCGAATCTACTTCTTTTCCAATTTCATTACAGCAAAAAGTGTCTAATTCTGATCCAGAGAGCATTGAATACAGAATTTCAAAAAACTGCCACGCTGCGTTATACTCGAATTTTTCTAAAACGACTTTTTGAGCATTTTTCCTTTTTTTTTGTAAAATAATAATAGTTCAAAACGTTTTATATTGTGGAAAAGGAAAAAAAAGGAAAGTTGATGCAGAAATAAACGCGAACAAAGAATGACATGAGGACAAAAAGAATGTGAAAATATATAAGAGAATACCTCCACCATTACTATATCCATTATCGACTGTTATAGAAGTAGTTGGGGGAGAGAGAGTGAGCAAGAGAGAGAGAGAGAGAGAGAGAGAGAGTGGTTTCTATTGTGACTAGGGCATCAATAATCCCTGACAACATTCAACAACGACAGACAAGCTTCTTGCTGAATCTTATCTCGAAACAACTATCATGTTGTCATCGTGTCGCCATTATCAACTTGTCAACTGCTACGAAATACAGTTTAATTAAATTTAATTAATAGCCAAATTGATCAATATCTTAAACTAATACTCTATTAATTTATAATCAAAACAATTATACGTTTATGAATTTAATTAAATTTCTGCCTTATTATTACACGGAGAGAAATCTGTTGCGAATAATGCATAGAGTAGAGGTTATGAATATAGCATAAGCACTTACTAGCGAAAAGTATAAGAGGTCCGCCTGAATATCAGTCGACTCCGCCTAATATTCAGGCGGACTCGAGCAATAAATAGGCTCTCTGTTATGATTTTAGCATCAAAGAATCTATGGAAAAAGTATATGAAAAGTTTCGAGCATTAATCCTAACAGATTTCTCTCCATGTATAGTTCTGCATTATGATTATAATTCTAATTGAATTACGCTTCTTTTTTTTTATTTTTTATTTTATTTATTAAGCTACTCTTTTATTCTACGAAATTTACTATTAAGTAAATTTTACTAAATAAACCCTTCCTATATTTTTTTCCAACTATTACCGGTTAGTAATTGTTAACACAGTTTTTCTAAGGATATCAAATTGAGACAAAAAACGAATCAAAACGTTGATTCGTTTTTTGTCTCAATTTGATATCCTTAGAAAAACTGTTAATATATTATATAGTTAATAGTGAATTTAATTGAGAGAATTCGATAATGAGATAATAGTGAATTTCAATTGATTAAAAATTGACCTTCGTTTATTTATAAATTGCATTTTTTTCTGTAATCTCAGCCTCAACCTCGATTTCTGTAAAGCACTAACAATAGTTGTTATCCGTGGCGAAACTCGCCCCCCTATAATATGGTATACGCTTCGCTTGTCTGCAAAGCTGACTATATGCATATAGTTGCCGTAGCTAGTTAGTTAACTCTATATGCACATGAGCATAAATAGATTCATGTACAAATCGTTTATATACAGAAACTAACATGTGTGACAAATTATCAACGCATTCAACTATTATATCTATATATCGCACTAATATATTTCAATTACAGTATAAAATCAACGCTAATTAATATATTTCACACGCCTATATGGAAATAAATGTAATATTGTTATTGAACAAGTATTTTCAATAATATATATTAACATACTCTCTAAATTTATATTAGTAGAATTTTTACTAATCAATAATTAGCATGTTTAGTTTTAATTAATGAATCAGTTAATTCTGAGTGAATTAACTGATTCAAATTAACATTTACTGAGCCATTCAGTAAATGTACTGGTAGTCGAAAAAAAACCAACATAACCTTTAAGGGCTAATTTCACTAACCTCAATTAAAAATTAATCAATGATTAAAGCGAATTTAACGGCTCTTGATTTATTAATTGAGGATTTAATCATTGATTAACTTTTAATCGATATTGGTGAAATTAGCCCTAAAATTATTAAACTAATAATTATAATGAATTATTCTTTTTTATGAATTTTATAGTATTATACAACTGATTGAATCAGTAACCTTTATTTTACTAATTGAATAACGAAATTTCTGCTAATTACCTATTAAGAAATAAATTCTGGCTATACACTGAGAAACAAAATCTTTTAATCTAAATATAAGTAGCCAACCAAAAAAATATGTTTAAATTAAACATATATTATAATTGAATTAAACGTAATTTTTATTGAATCAAAATTATGTCTAATTAGTAGAATTCTACTGATAATTAGTCAAATTTTACTAATTCAAATTTAGAATTAATTTATTTCAGAGTTATTACAAAAATTTGATTATAAATTTCCCTGATTTCCAAAAAGAATATTACTACTCTCCAAATTTAAATTAGTAAAAATGTTTACTAATTTGCTTGCAATAGTGACTGAATTTTTGCTAATGAATTAGTAAATTTAATCAATAAATAGTAATTTCTACTCATAAATAGTCATTTTTGCTAATTGAGGGGACAGATGCAAATTTAATGAAATAATTAAGACTGGATGCTATAAGGTGTTACGCTCCATGTTAAATGAATGGCCCGTAACACCTTATAGCATCCAGGCCCTCAATTCAAGTACAACAATTTGAATATTAATTATTTCCAAAAATTTGAACTGCAATTCTTCCAAAAATCAATTATTCTTTAGAATTTTTTATTAATATTATTCAAAACTTTTATTTTTTAAGAAAAACTGACAAATTAAATCAGTTCTTATCAAAATTCAACTACGAGAATTTAATTATTTAAATAAGGGAGATTGGGATATTGTGGGACACACTTTTTCTTAGCACAATTTTACAAAATTTAATATATATTCTCTCTCCGTGTATCGCATGAATCGCAATCTTCTTCTTCTTCTTCTTTACTACAGAGAAGCTGTAGTTTACTAAAAATTTTGGCTTCGTATAGAACAGGCCAATTCAAAACACAATATATAATCTATGATACTGAAGTCCGCAACGTTTTTAAAAACGAAAACGAAAAAAATAAAGGGACGGTTTTTTATTTTTGATTCTAAATCATATTAATTTTTAATAATTGTATCTTATGCAACAATTAATTTTTTAAAAATTAAGAAACATGAAAATTAGAGATGAATTTAACTTGGAAAAAAATTCTTTTTTGATTTTTCGTTTTTAAAAACGTTGCGGACTTCAGCTTCATATATAATCTTTAATGCAATTCTTAATTATGCGTTCACTTGTTGGTTAGGTAAGTTAAGTACGAACTTCCAGTGGTAGTGTAGACTTATGTTTCCTTCGTTTTGTGTGTATTCGCAAGATGCCCCTGCCCAATCCTTGATCGGGTTTTCCGTTGGATCCAATGAATGCCGCTGCAGACAAATTTTAGGAAAGGGAGTTGGCGGGGAAATTTGAATTTTAAAACTGTGGCTATCCCATCTGTTCCTGAATAAGGGAATTGCATTGTAATAAACATTTCTTTTAGTATTATAGTAACTGAAAATTTATCCAAACTCCAGTGTTAGCCCTTTATGAGAGCAAAATCAAAATCAAAATAATGTGTAGCTATATTTAATTGTCACCTCTACGGCGTGGTGTGTTCTATAATTAGCAGCACCCCAAAATGAAAACAAAGCATAGAAATTCAAAGGTGAAAAAAACGTGCTTAAATAAATT